ACAGTGGGAAGTGAGCGTATGCTCACAAGTAGATTTTTATGACCTTGAGTACATATGCTGAATCAGGGCATTTATGACCTTGGCTACCTACTAAAAATGTAGCCTGCTGGAAGTCTTGGCCAGGGAGCCTAACTATAGCCATCTTGGGCCTACCCTACAGTGGGAAATGAGAGTGGTGCATCCTTACTCTGTGTGGAGAGTAAAGATGCTATATTACCTCTGAAACTCAAACCAGCCACAAAGTAGGTATCATAACTATTTTGAAGATGAGAGAATTGCAGGTGAGGGGTGAGAAGAAACAAACCAGTATGCTAAGAAGCATGGTTTCCTGAGTCAAACTCCTTCAAACTGATTGGCTTCTCCAGAATGGATACTCAGGTGGTCCACTTTGCATGAAAAAAGAGTCCTTTTTCTTGTGTCTTGGGCCAACTCTGCCCCTCCATAAGAGCACCCATCCTCAGAAAGCCCCTTAATCTAGCGCCTTATGAATGCTTGGGTTCATTAACACTCTGAGCAGCGAGCGGCCTTGAGGACAGCAGTAAGGCTTCAGATCCATCCCAGATTCGGCTTCTGTCACCTTAGGGCCCTGGGTCTACCCTGGCCCCCTGCAGTTCCAGATCCCATCAAAGTAGAGGGTGGTTTGAGTTGAGGGAGGAGCCCCGCCCCGTGGGTGGTTGTGGGGAGGGATGTGGTTTGTGACTGTGCCTGCGCACCTGTGGTGAGCCCCGGTCCCTCCTGTCCTAGTGGAGCTGACTCCAGGTAAACTTACACCCATGTTTATAAGGTCCAGGCCTAACTCCTTCACCCAGGGGCCTCGTTTTAGCATGGCCTCAGGGCTGACACAGCCCCTGTCCCCAGTGGGTGGGCCCAGGCTGCCCATCCTCCCCTGTGGACGGACCTCCCCACCCATGACAGCGCTGTCTCTCTCTGTCCCCAGCTGTGTGTCCTTCTCCATCTACACGCCCTGGGGCGAACATTGTGAACACCTGAGTATGAAACTCGGCGCATTCTTTGGGATCCTCTTTGGGGCCCTGGGAGCCCTCCTGCTGCTGGGGATTGTGGCGTTTGTGATCCTGCACTTCTGGCGCAGCTCCAGAACCAGGAGCTCCTACCCGCTGGACTCGGAGAGTTGAGAACTCGCCCCGAATGGGCAGCTGTGGCCAAAGATACCTCAGGACCCACCCCATCCTCAATACTCACTTCAGGCACCATTACTTCAGGGAGACTGGAAAGGGAAAGGTGAAAGTTGGTGACTGGGGAATGAATAATGGGAATGAAGTCAAGACTGTACCTTATTAGGAGACCCAAGGGCCCAGGCAGGAGCCATAAAGACCAAAGCATGTAACTGGTTGGGTTCTCTCACACAGACATACATAGGCTTAAGGAGGACACTGGCCCACTGTGAATGTACACACACACACACACACACACACACACACACAGGCAGTGAGTTGTTAATGGGGTGACTTGCTCTAAGTTAACAAAAGTGCTTTTGCCAAAATTCTCTGGTTTACTTCTGATTAAAGTCTATTTAATAAAATCTCTCTGACTTGTGTCTCCAAACCATGATTCCATTCCTGATTTTCTCCTGGTGATGCAAGAGCTGGACACAGACTTCTCCAGCCACCAGAAGACACACGGCATGGAAGTTAAACATTAGGCAGGTGGCTGGGCCCAGTCCTACCTCAGTTCTCAGTTACTCTATACTGGGAGGACTAGGTTGCCACAATCCTAACTTGGGTCCTCGTTTCCTATCACCTTCTTTCCCTACCCCAACAGACACTGCAATGCTTTAGACATGGTTCCTGCCCCCCCCCAAAGATGCATGTGCTGGAGGTCTGGTCTTCTGTGGCAATGTTGAGGTGGGAGATCCTTTAAGAGGTAGGGCCTAGTGCAAGATAGTTAGGTCAAGGGGGCATTGCCCTCAGAAGGGACTGACGAACTTTTTGAAGAGCTCTGTTTTGAGAGGGGGTTTTTGTAAAGTGAGCATACCTCATGCCTTTGGTGCTCTCGCATGCAGCAGGTCACCTTTCTGTTTTTTTCTTGTGTTGTGACCCGGTCAAGGAGACCCTCACCAGAAGTCAAAAGATGAGGCCACCCAGTCTTGGGTTTTCAACCTCTGAAATTGTGAACTAAATAACCTTCTTTATTAAGCACCTTGCTTCAGACATTTTGTTATAGCAACAGAAAATATTGGGAGAGGTGGTATTAAAAGTATGATTGTCAGACTTGGAAATAAAAATATGGGATGCCCAGTTAAAATTAAAATTCAGATAAATTACCACTACAAATAAGTTTTTAGTATAAGAATGTCCCCTTGAATATTTTTACAAAGTTATTTATTGTTTACCTAACATCACTGGTAGTCTGTATCTTATCAGGCAACCCTGGTCAAAACAGTTTCAGAAAGGAAAGCAGTGGAGACCATGTGGAGGGTAGTTTGGAGGGGGCGGGGAGATGGTTCCATTTAAAGAAAATAAGAGGACAAAATAATATCACATGAACTTCTTTCTTTTCATGTTAATAAACATACATCTCAACATTTCTTTATGGATTCTGTATTATTTTCGGAAGATAAACTAAGAATGAAATTGCTAGTTTAAAGGGATCTACTTTTTTTTTTTTCTGTGGTACTGGGAATTCCATCCATGGTCTCATACATGCTAAGCAAATGCTCTACGACTGAGCTATATCTCTAGGCTTGGGTTTTTTAAGATAGGATCTTATTTAGGTGCCCAGGCTGGCCTCAAACTTGTCATCCTTCTGCCTCAGCCTCTGGAGTAAGTGGGACTACATGCCTGGCTTGGGATCCACATTTTAAAGCTTTTAGATAAATAGTCAAGAAGATAAATCCAAAAGATAGATTGTACCAATTTCATTCATGCTAGGAGTGTTTAAGAATGCACATCAGTATGGATAATTCCTATAAATCTTTACCTATTTGACACACAGTAAGCAGTATCTCGCGGTATTAATTTGCCCCTTTTTAGCTAGTGTAGTCAACTCTTTTTCACGTAGGGCTTTTATGATCCTTCTTCTGTGAATTGCTTGTCCTCTCCATCTGTTTACTTTTCTTTTTTTATTCTAATTTATTATACATTATGGCAGAATGCAATTCATATTATACATATAGAGCACAATTTTTCAAGTCACTGATTATATACAAAGTATTTTCACACCATTTGTGTCTTATACATATACTTAGGTTAATGATGTCTAACTCATTCCACCATCATTCCTACCCCCTTTCCCCCTTCCTTCCCCTCCCTCCTCTTTGCTGTATCTAAGGTTCCTCCATTCCTCCCATGCCCCCGCCCAATTGCCATTATGAGTCAGCATCCTCATATCAAAGAAAACATTCGGCCTTTGGTATTGGCTTGCTTAACTTAGCATTATATTCCCCGACTGTGTCCATTTACCTGCAAATACCGTGATTTTATTCTCTTTTAATGCTGAGTAATGTTCCATTGTGTATATATACTACAATTTCCCTATGCATTCATATACTGAAGGACATCTAGGTTGGCTCCATAATTCAGCTAATGTGAATTGTGCTGCTAAAAACATTGATGTGGCTGTGGCCCTGTGGTATACTGTTTTTAAGTCCTTTGGGTATAGACTGAGGAGAGGGATAGCGGGGTCAAATGGTGGTTCCATTCCAAGTTTTCCAAGGAATCTCCATACTGCTTTCCAGATTGGCTGCACCAATTTGCAGTTCGACCAGCAATGTATGAGTGTGCCTTTTTCTCCACATCCTCTTTAACAATTATTGTTATTTGTATTCTTGATAGCTGCCATTCTGACTGGAGTAAGATGAGTAGTTTTGATTTGCATTTCTCTAATTGCTAGAGATGTTGAACATTTTTTCATGTTTGTTGATTGGTTGTATATCCTCTTCTGAGAAGTATCTGTTCAGTTACTTAGCCCATTTATTGATTGGGTTATTTATTTTTTTGGTGTTAAGGTTTTTGAGTGCTTCATATATCCTAGAGATTAGTGCTCTATCTGATGTGCTTGTGGTAACCAAGGTAAGAGATGATAGGACCATGGACCATCTTGGTGATGGCAGTGGAAAAGGTGAGGTAGAATCAGATTGTGGGCATTGCCTGAGGCAGTACAGCCAACAGAATTTCCTGGTGTAAAATGTAAGAGAAAGAGAAAAATTAAGAATGGTTGTTGGAGGGCTGGGTTTGTGACTCAGAGGTAGAGTGCTTGCCTAGCATACATGAGGCCCTAGGTTCAGGCAGGAGGATCATGAATTCAAAGTGAGCCTCAGCAACTTAGTGAGGCCCTAAGAAACTTAGTGAGACTCTATCTCTACATAAAATATATAAAAAAGAGCTAGGTTCAGTGGTTAAATGCCCCTGGGTTAAATCCCCAGTACCCCCCAAAAAATGGTTCTGAGAATTTTGGCTTGACCAATAAAAGGATGTAATTGACATTCGCAGAGATGGGGAGGATGCAGACAGAGCAGGTGTAAGGGAAAAGATTAGAACTTCAGTTTTGGAGATGTTGAAAGTGAGGTATCTCTTTAACAACCACGTGGAGAGGGTGAGTTAGCAATTGAATATATTCATTAATAATAGTAGTATATAAGAGATGGGATTTTTTTCTTTCTCTTCCCCTCCCTCCTCTTCCCACTTTTATTTTTGCTACTTCTTTTTTTTGGGGGTGGGGTGGGGGGGGAGACTAGAGATTGACCTCAGGGGCACTCAACCACTGAACCACATCCCCAGCTCTACTTTGTATTTTTATTTAGAGACAGGGGTCTCACTGAGTTGCTTAGCACCTCACCATTTCTGAGGCTGGCTTTGAACTCCAGATCCTCCTGCCTCAGCCTCTTGAATCGGGGGAGGCATATACCACTGTATCTGGCTATTTTTGCTTCTTCTTTTTGGATTTTTCAAAATTTTAAAATCTGAAGTAAGATTTGCCTTTACAACAGGAAAAAACCAGTAATCCGTGTCTAATTTAAAACACAATAATGTGAACTATGAGCTATGGGAGGAATACTTGAATACTGTAGACTTTCCTTTAAATCTGCTTGAGTCCAGAACTTAAAATTTAAGTTTATTCAACAAACATTTTATTGACATTCTGTGTGACATACAGGTCAGGTGCTCTGCTAGGTTCAAGGGAATCTGAGAAGAACAAATATTGTCTTTTCCTGAAGGAGCTTGTTATAGTTTGAATGTGTTTCTCAAAGGCCCAATGTTTTAAAGGCTTGGTACCAGGGCGCTCCATTAGGAGAAGGTGGGAACTAATAGGAGATGAGGCCTAGTAGAAGGTCCTTAGGTCCCTGGGACTTTGAAGGGGATTGCAGTACCCCAGCCCCTTCTTCATTTCTTTTATCTCTGACCCAATTATCTCAGATATTTTGTTATATTAATGGAGAACTTAATATTACGAGTTTAAGTTTCAACCAGATCCAGAGCTGGCTTCAGTAAGGGCAAACCAAGAACTGGGGACACAAAGAATAGAGGGAACAGTAGGGATGTATAAAATCCCTATATAATAAAAATGTCAGCACATACAGGTCACATAGATAACCTCTGGACACACTGAGTGTAACTTTAGTACAAGGTGGAAGCACAGGGATGGGTGATCAGGTCTGTCTGGGCCTAGGAAACTAAAGGACCCCTCTGGGAGCAGGGGACACACTCCTTTCCACATACACACAGTAGGGTGTTAAACGAGCCAGGGTCCTTTGGCCACGTCTGGGGTATAGGGCTCGAACCAGCTGGCCTTCATGGGAACCTTCTGGGTAATGTCAGCATAGCAACGTGGCTCCGGTCTGTTGGTGAGGGCTCAGACCACGGGAAGCACTGCTTCTTTTTCAGCAGAAGGTATATACCTGGCTTCAGCTGATGTTCGTTAGCCTCTCCGGACGCGAAGTAAGGAGACTTGAACGAGAGGCAGGTGGGTATGCAGTTCACACCGGAGCTGGAGAGCAGGAGGAGACAGAGTGTACATTCAGTGCATCCAGCCCAGGAGCTCCCCACAGGCCAAGGACAGGGAAGGACAGTGGGAGAGAATACCAACAATGCTTCCTGATCCTCCCACATGATAAACATGAACTAGGTGCTTTGCCTATAAATATCATTGAAACCTCATAGCAATCTTGTAAAGCAGGGATTATTATCCTTGTTTTATAAGGAATAAAGGTAATAATGAAAACCCCACCCAAGGTCATACAGTGAGGAACTAGAATTCACACCCAAATCTAACACCCAGAGCTCCAGAGTTCACTGACTGACCCCTGATCCCTAAACCATTGGTCAGTCCCAAGAACAGACACCCAACCCCATGTGGCCTGATTCTTACATCTCAGCTGCCTGAACTGCTCCTAATCTCCCAGTTTCTTTCTGACCCCTGAAAGAATCCCAGTTTGGAGGCTTAGACATGTCACTCGACTCTGGCTTCCCTCTTTGACTGGGATTCCTTCTCACTTTTTTGATTTTTGTGAGCAGAGGGCATTGCCATCTGTTTGGCCACCCCACATCAAACCTTATGTAGGGAACTCCTGGCTGGGTGAGTCCTGATGAGCTTGCTGCTACTGAGAGAACTCAAGGACCCAGATATTCCCCCCTCCTCTTTTCCCCTGGCAGTGATCTGTGGACACAAGAACTAAGCTTACACTATTGGATGTTCCCACTCAAGACTTTGACTCTGGAACATGTGACCCAAAGATAAAGAGGCAGTGAGAAGCCATTTGCAATAGAGCATGGAGGCAGCATGATGTCCGTTGACTGTGACAGTATCCAAGAGTGACAGTAATCAGCAAGAATGACAGGGTCCCACCAGGTGTGGTGGTGGACACATGTAATCCAAGTGGCTTGGGAGGCTAAGCAGGAGGATCACAAGTTCAAAGCCAGCCTCAGCAACTTAATGAGTACCTAAGCAACTCAGCAAGACCCTGTCTCTAAATAAACTATAAAAAAGGGGAGGGGGCTTGGGATGTGCTTCAGTAGTTAAGCACCTCTGGGTTTAATCCCTAGTAAAAAAAAAAAAAAAAGGACAGGGTCCTAGCCAGAATGTTCCTCCTGCTCTTCTGGAAATCCTTTAATCCTTTGATTCTATGTACCTGGGACTCTGCCAAGAAATCCCCTTTTTGCTTAGGATAGACCGTGGTTTTCTTTTACTTGAAATAGTTGTTTCCTGTCTCCACCTGCCAAGAGTAACCACCTCATCTGTCCAGCTTGGATATAGAACTCTACCTGACATAGGACCCCCAGAGTTGGCACCTCTGCCAGGTTTACCTCTGCAGGGGATGACACCAAGCCTGCACTGCTGACAAGCTGTATGATACCTGTGGACTGTGACAGGTGCGGGTTGCAAGCTTGAGGCATGGGCAGGGGCACTGCTGAAGGGACAATCCACTTAGGCTGTGCACTGAACCTGTTTTCACTGTTTATACCGGTACAGAACGTAAACACTTCCTACTACATCACACTCCGTCTCCTACTTGGTGAAATCTACACTCTGCAAGGCCAGTGAAACCTACACTGAGCTGACCCGGTGGAACTTCCAGTGATTCACATTGTCCCCCAAAACCCCGATCCCAGAATTTCATCACCAGAAACCCTGTCCAACAATCTTGGTTTAAGAGAATTTTCCTAACTTGCTCTACAAATATCTCCCAATCTTGATTCCTCTCTAGAGAATGTATCTGTTTTTTTTTTTCTACCTACTATCCATATTTCATCTGGGGCCTATCCTTTTCAATCTATGTGGTAATGATTGGGCTGTGAGTCATGAGGGCTGTTGCAGGCCAATGAGACCAGCCCTTCTATTGATGATTTTGGGAAAAGTAAGTTCCTTGTGAATCTAGAGCTGTCAGAGTCACCTTCCCATATATAGGGAGAAAGACTGAATAATGAAAGAAGCAGAGCTGACAGTAAGAGAGACTTAAAAAAAATCTCATGATCATATTTGAGCTGCTGGATCCAGCCACAACTGAAGCTAGAGGAGCTACCATAGGTTTCTTGGATTCTTGGACCTTGCCTTGTCTATGTAAACTACTTTGACTTGGGTTTCTTCCATAATCCACCAAGTGTCCTGTTTCCCTGCCCATGGGACTTCTCATCAGGGACCAGAAACCCAATACTTCCTAGGACCTGAAGAAATTGGAAATGGGGGGGAAGAATTTGTTTACATTGCAGAAAAGATGAAATGAGTTCAGAGAAGAAAGGCAGAAGCAAAACCAGGCAGAGAGTCTTCAACTCAGCTCCTAACACTCCACAAGACACTAGACCTCCTTCTGGGTAGTAGTTGCTCTTCTGCATCCTGAAGAACCCGGCTGTCCCTGAGAACCACTCATTTTACTCCCCTGGCTCTGTAAGCATCCACTCACCTGCTGCATGAGGCTGTCTGCCTGGCTGGGCTCAGTGAGGTCTGCTGGGGAGGCCACACTCAGCCGCACTAGGAGGAAGCCTCCATCACCACCTTTGAGTGGAGAAAGAAGATGGAAGTAGTCAGTTTAGGAATAAGGATGTGTCTCCCACTAAACTCTTCTCTGCCCCCTCTGCATATAAGCATGAGGCACTCTTACGCAGAAATGTGTCTTACATTTACATGGGACCTTACGTGTGCTGGCTACAAAGAGGAACGACGATTCCTTCTCTAGGATAATTGCAGCCATTCCTGCGTCCTCCCAACAAGAGTGAAAGGCGTGGTGGCTTAAGGCACCTCCCACGCTTGAAGAAGTCAAAGGAAGAGAGAGGAGGAAGAAATGGAAGCTGAATTAGAATGTTCTCAAGTCCAGGAGGTCCTGGGTGGAGTGGAAGGAAGGGCCCCCAAAGGGAGAGAGCTGGAGAGTGGCTGGCTCCCTGGGGAGATGCCTTCTGCCAGTTCTTCCAGCTGTAAATTGGTAGGGGACGGATGGGGTCATCTAGTCCAGCCTTCCTGGTTTAGCAGCTCTGCAAGAAAGTTCTGCCTTTTGTTGAGCCCTAATCATCTTGCCTTAGCTGGGCAGTGGGCACACACCTGTAATCCCAGGAACATGAGAGTTGAAGCAAAAGGATTGCAAGCTCTAGGCCAGCCTCAGCAACATAGCAAGACCCTCTCAAAATAAAAAGATATATCTCTGAGACCTGCCAAACCATCACATATTCATTTATTAATATTTCATGACACTATCTATGGCAGAGAGCAAGTAGTACATCCAGCAGGACCCACATTCACAGGGTTCCAGCTACTCAGAGAGCAATAATTGGCTGTGACGCCCACAGCCTTCCCCTCTGAGTGGCTAAGGCTGGACCAGAGGCTTTCAAACGCTGAGGACCATGTCTGTTAAACAAGAGCTGGGACCCTACCACATGCACCGCAGTTACTCAGCACTTCACTTCATGAAAGGTTGGAGCTGGAAAGGGCCCCAGTGCTCCTCCAGTGCAATCCCTGATTGCTACGGGTGGGGAAACTGAGGCTCAGAGAGGGAGAGGAACTGGGCCAGGTTTGCTCAGCTTGTTAGGCAGAGCCAGGACCACTAGGAGACCATGAAGAGGTCACACTGGTGAGAGGTCAGCAGAGCCCCCCACCCACCCGTCCTTCCTCCCACCTCCTGAAGCATGCAGGCATCCCAGAGACC